CGGAACTACGTTCAAAACAAAATTTATTTTTGCCACTTTTTGAGGCACTTTAAATTTAATGTGCAAAAATTGAAAAGTTTTTGCCCTAAATGTCCAGAGAATTTTCATTTTGCTAAAGGAAAACCATATATTTGTGTGTGTGTGTGTGTGTGTGTTCATTAACCTCTTTGCCCTCTTCCTCTGCCCCCCGCCTCTTTGTCTATTTTCTAGTTTCTGTGGTTTCTGTGGGGGGAGGGGCGGCCTTCAGCGGCCTGTGAAATCCTTTTAATGGCATAAACGGGTTAAGCATTTTGGTGACGTGAATATGAACACAGCTGCAAATGTCCATCCTTCCGGGCCATCCTTTTGGGCTGGACATGTCCGGAAGGAAATTGTCTGGTGTGTGTTTTTTTTTTTTTTTTTTTATGTGTTATCAGTTTTCCCGTAAGTCCGCCTGTCGCTTTAAAGCTTGAAATTTCATTTATGACTGGGACTGTCTGCACGAAGAGCTGCTACTCGGATGCACTGTGACTGTCTCTCTCTCTCTCTCTCTGCCTCTCACTCTGCATGCATATGTGTGGGGCACTTTTCAAAAATGGCAAACAAAAGCGCGCGTGACAGCCACAAAAACAAAGACAACAAAAACTGGCCAGCAAATCGTTCACTGAACGCCTCAGGAAAAACCCCCAAAATCCCCAATACTGCTCTCCATCTGCTGCTCCATTTGTTGAAGCAAGTGTGTGTGTGTGTGTGTGTGTGTGTGTGTGTGTGTGTGTAGCAGACAGTTTTCCCGAAGCATTTGCTTAATTTAATTTCGCCTGCCTGAACGGCTGCTGCTGCTGCTGCTGCTGCTGTTCCGTTCTCCCACTTGAATGGCTGCTACGTCCAGTTATCCCACTGACTCCTACACTGCACGAAAAAGTCCCACACAGAGCTGCACAACGGAAAAGGCTGTTCCCCCCCATGATTTCGCTCAGTGCACGCCACTCCCCGATGACTAGTCAATCGAACACCAAAAAAGAAAATACACAAAAAAATAAGATTCTCTCTCAGTGCAAGCGATGAGGCTGCTCTCCTCCTGGCCCCACACACACTTTGCGCTTCAGTGGATGCCACACCCAGCGCCTCCTCCCTCCCATCCTTCCTGCCTTCTTGTTGGCCAGCAGTTTGTGTTTTCTTAAAATTTGCAATTAATCAACTTAACGGCTACGAAAGGGATCTACCTCTCCATCTACTGCTGCTTCCCAACTCTTTCGGTGTCCCTGCTTGAGTTTACTTTAAGGAAATTGTTTCCATGTGCTGATCCCTTCGGCCCAAGTGGAGTCCTTCACTAGCCCCGGCAGATGTGTTGCTGGGGTGGAACAAGGTGACAATTGTTCATTTGTGCGGGGGGTACGTTTGGGGGGACTCTGTTTGCTTGCCACGCAGCTGGCACTGCCGAAAGCTTTTGTTAAGGCCCCCTAGGAAGGTGGGGGAAAAAACTGAGAAATAGGATACAGAAAAATCGAAGAGAACCGGGGGTATATGGGAGATGCATTTCGATCGATGTAACAGAAGGCAGCCTCAAGCTGCCATAAATGAACAAAAAAAATAAACAAAAAAATACATCTGTAAATAAAGCTTTAAATCGGCAGTTCTACGTTTAAATATTACAGGCAGAATGGCAGAATTAACTTCTTCGACCCTTTGGAGGGTACATCAATGGCCCAACAATATTCGATTATTTTTCAGCATTTATAGGGCATCCACTCGTCGAAATATTGTATGTCCAAATGCAGAAGGCCTTCTCGTGAGTTTTTGCAATTTCTCTTGTGGGGGGGGGGGGTTGGCTATTCAATTTCTGGCCATAAAGCTATACGATGATAACCAATGATGGACTATTAGTGCAAGACAATGATGGAAAGAACTTCACTTCGAATGAAAGATGAAAGAAAAGACACTGATGGGAAGGAGAACTAAGAGAAACACGCAAGAAAGAAACACACAAGAGAAACACGAGAAAGAAAGACAAGAGGAGCACGAGAAAGCAACAACAGAGAACACACAAGAAATGGGAAGAAAAAAAATACGATGGGTGGAAAACAAAGTAACGAACGGATAGAACACGCAGAACACGAATAAATGAAAAGAGACTATAGGAAAGGAGCTCTTTCGATTTAGTTGCCAATAGAAAATTGAAACAACTTTCTGTGCCAGCCAGCAAAACACTTCCCCCTACTACCCCTTACCCTTCCCCTTCGTTCATTCCGATTCCGATTTTTGGCTTGCCGCAAATTTACCAAAAAAAAAACTAAAAATATTTACTATTATATTTTTGTAGAATGTTCGAAGGGGTGCGAAACCCTACCTCCCTCCCTCCCACCATCCCTCCAATTTGCACGTTCTTGTCGGTTGCCCTGTCTGCTGTTTTGGGGAGCCACTCCCCCCTCTGGTGGCCACTCTGGTGGTGGTCAACACAATCAGGATGCAGTCATCGCCAGTTGGCACTCCATTTCTCCACCTTTTCAACGCTAGATCCCCACTTCCTTTTGGTCATTTCTTTTGCCTTCTCGCTGTCTTCTCCCTTCCTTTCTCTCTCTTTCTCTCTCTCTCCGACTCTCTGTTCTGACATAACTCCAAATGCACTTGCTGACAGGCATTGAAAGCCCACACCACAAACTGTAGATTATGCCATTGCCACTGCCACTGCCACTGGGGGCACTTTCCTCCGCCCCCTATTCCCGGGGGGCTGCCTTGTTATAAATCACAAAATGGGTAAAAAAAAAAAGAAAAGAAAAGAAAAAAATATACTAGAAGTAGGAGGAGCATCAGCCGCAAAGCTAAAGGTAAAATTATCTAACAAAATGCTGTCCGAAAATGCTTGTGGGAAAAGCGGCCAGGGCAGCCAGCAGGAACTGCAAATAGTTGCCTCGTAAAACAGGATCTCTACCATTGCCACACCTCCCATGCCATCTTTTACAGTGTTTTTAGCTGTTACTGAAAATACATACATATATTTTAACCAGCAAAAAGTTATACTCTTCTTTTTGATACCCTGCATAAATTATATGATTTTGAGCAGCAGACGAGAACAAGCACATAAATTCGAATACTTTACACTCTTTTCACATCAGTAAATAAATTTTGTATACCCATCATATATATAATCGCGGTAGCGCAAAGGGTATTTTGTATTCGTGTATGCCGCGCATAGAAAAGTTCTTTGCTGCTGCGCTTTGCCTACAAGAACAGTTACAGAAGAAGCAAAGCAAAGCAGCAGAAGACGAAACAAACGCACTGCACAGAAGAGAGAACGAGAGCTGCAGCTCAGCAGACAGCCGTCTCCGTTTTAGCATTCCATCATTATCTCTCTCTCTCTCACTCCTCCCCTCCTGGACAACCAACCAAGCAAACACACACACAAAACGACACACAACCGACGAAATATTAAGCAGCCGAAAAAACAGCAGCGCAGCACCACAGCAGGGCAGGCAGAAACCAATGTAAATTGCAGCAACAACTTTTGCAATGCTTTTGCTCCGCTTCGCTCTGTCACTCTCTCTTACTGCGCCTTGGAAGAAAAGCAACAACAGCTTCGATTCCACACTTATGTATGTATGTATGTGCATGCGGTACATTTGCACTCACCATTTGCACAGAAAGATCTCACTCACTCGCGCTCTCTTTCTCGCTCTGCTCTCTTTGCTTTGAGTTTTGCCAGCACGCAGGCAGGCACGCAGACATTGTTTTTGTTGGCACGCGTTACAGTTCGACTGAAAGAATATGTGCTCTCGATTAGTGCTGGGAACGGACTTTATTTTAGTCATTCTCTAGGCTAGGCTCCAGGGCAAGCTCGATGCGAGCCCTCTATTATGCCGCCAGTTGCTGTGCTGCCGCCTCGTCCTAAGCCCTTCTTGGATTTCACTTTAATCCGTTGTCTCCAATCGTAGAATATTCTTTTTGAGCTTTCGTTTTTCTTGGTTTAGCCCGTCGTCACCGCCGGCGCCGAGGCCTCTGCCACCGCTCACCTTCTGGCAAGAGGAATCTACACTTTTGTTCCCAGCTTTTGGCCTTTAATTGATTGTTTACGTTTCTCTTATTGTTTGCCACCAATTAATATTGATATTTAGGCCTAATTTTATACGACTTTTCGTGTTTTTTTTTTTTTCCTGCAGTTTCTCTCGCTGCCCGCCCCGTCTCTTTCGCTCTTTCTAAACGTAACAATGACCGCATTCTTGCGCTGCTGCTGCCCCTCGGGCGCCACCGAAAAAAATGCAGCAGTAAAAAAGTTAAAGGTTCCTCCTCTCACTCATTCCCTTCTCTGTTTCTTTCTATTGACAATTGTGCGGCTTTTTGGCCAAAGGGGTTGGTGAAGTGAGAGGAGCAGTAGGCATGCCACACTCACACACACACACACACATATACTCAGACAAATGAGGAGCAGCGAAGCCAAAGTGCCGCAAGCTTTTTACGTGGTCGCCTCTGCTGCAGCCTCGGAAAACGGTAAAAAACACAAGCGGAATGCGGGAGAGTCCGAAGCCTTTGTTACCCCATCTGAATTTAATTTTCTGGCTTAGTTTTTGGTCTAATTTCCATGTTGAAAGGGTATCAAAATAGTTGTATAGCCGGTGGGAAAGTTGGCAGTGGGCAGGGGCAGGTGCAGGGGGCAAGTCTCCGCCTGTCGGGCGAATGCCGCATTAAAACAAATCAAATCAAATGAAAAACGTCTTATTGCGGCGCAATCAGCACCGCTGACAGCCAATATACCAGGGTTGGATGCCCTGCAACGGCAGCCCTGCCACACGGCTATCGCATGGACAAACTACACACCAAAAGAGAGCTCAAATGCGATCGTTTGGCATTGTAAAATTAATTAACAATTAATAAATAGCTGAATGAATTTCAAAATGATTTCTCACTAAAAAAAAAAAGAAAATAATTAAATCAAAGTGAAAGCAAACACCATGCGATTATATCGATATCGATATCAAGATACCGATATCAAGGCTTTGCTGTCAATGTAAATGCAACGCTGGCAGGAAAGTCGTCGTCATCCATCATTCTTTTCGTGCAGTGACGTGGTGTAGTGTGGATTGCAAATTTTCCGAGCTTGCGTAATAATCTACGGAAATCCATTGAAAAAGTGTCACATTTTGAGCAATAAAAAGTGAGAAATTAATGTAAATTCGTGTTGCGATCCTTTGATACGTGTATTTTCTAATTTTTCGCCATTAGATTGACTTTTTTTCGAGGCCATGGATCCAAATTGGATTGAGAAATTTAACAGGCTTTTTCTGGACGACGACGACAGCGACTCTGACGGCGACAGCGATAATAAGAACGAGCCGGAGATGGACGTTGAGAATATGATTAGCTTTTTCAGCGGTTCTATGCCTGAGGAGTTGCTTTCTGGCCGCTTCAAATCTAAAGAGAATGCGGCGGCTGCCAACATGTCCAATGGGGTGGAGCAGCAGCCGTCAATAGATAATGGGCCATCCAACTCCCAGGAGCCGGTGGCGGCAGCGGCAGCCGGACGCTCCACTTCGCCGCAGAATTCTGATGTGGAAGACGAAATGCCGTCTCCGTTGCGTCTCGCTGAGGCCTCGCAATACTCGTGCTCCATAAGCAGCGACGAGGATGATGAATATATTCCACAGGATTACTATCCGGTGCCGGTGCCGGAGACCGATGCAGATGCAGATGCTGATGCTGCCACCGCTGCCACCGCCGCCACCGCCACCGACAGCACCGAATCGAAGAAGAAAAAGAAGAAGAAGAAGCCGCGTCAGCGTCTACGCATTCGCAACAAGGCCTTCCTGTCGTCTGTCGAAGTGGCCTTGGATGTGCTGGCCATGGCCGTTGCCAATCGACTGCATCAATTGGGCGCCGATGTCAATAATGATGAGGAAATCGCGAAAATGGTCACCGAAGTTGTCGCCGAAATGAACTTTCCCGAACACATTGCTGAGGCCATTGCAGCCGAAGCCACGAAAATATACAAAGGCACGGCCAATCAGAGCAAGGAACAGAATCTGAAAAATCTGGAAAAGCTAAACCAATTGATCAATCAGATCAATCAGAATAAATCTGAGTACGAATTCGGTGATTTTGGCAACTTCAATGCCGCACTCGATCCGAATACCCACAAAGTGATTTCACTTGAGATTAATGCCAATCTATTTGCCACCGAGGAGGAGCTGGCTACTTTTAATCTAATTGCCGCTAGAAAGCTAAACGCAGGCAAATCAAAATCAAAATCTGGTGCGGCCAAAAAGAACGCTGACAAAAAAAAGGCTGACAAGCAGAAGAAAGATTCGTCTGAGTTTAAGCCATTTAAGGAGCGCTCTGACGAACGACGCGCCGCCAAGATGTCGGAACGTCAGCGCCTAATGATCGAGCTGGAAATGGGTAAGCAGATCGAAAAGCAGGTCACCAAATGGGCTGATGCCCATGCACGTCAGGAGCCCAAAACTGACGGATTTGATATGCAACAATTTTTGAACGATCGTGCAGCACGCCGCCAGAAGGCAGAGGAGGGCGTGGATGAGGCTCAGGCTGAGGCTGAGGCTGGGGCTGCTGAATATGAGTTCGGTGTCAACGATATTCTGGCGAATTTGGAGAAGCAGGATGAGGCAGCTACGGGCCGTCCACGCGCATCAGCAGTAGAAATGGTCGATAAGAGTGTTGGCACAGACGATGATTATGGTGTCGGAAAAGAGGAACCCAAAGCGGCTACACCAGCTCCACCACCAGCTGCTGCTGCTCCAGCTCCAGCTCCAGCTGCTGCTGCTGCTGGTCGTCGTTCATGGTTCGCCGGACCGATGTTTATGCCGAGTGCTGCTACGTTGAAGCAGGACTTGGACAAGAAGGCCAAGGATGCAGAGAAAAATGAGACTGCGAAGTCTCAGACTGACTATGATGAGGAGGAGCTGCTGTTGGAATGGTATGAAAATGGAGAGGTGAAAAGTGGCCACGTCTGGCCACTGGTATTGGGAAAACGTAATTCAAAAAAATAAACAAAAACAAAAAACTCCAAAAAAAAAAAAAAACGAAGAAAGGTTAGAAGAAGCAGAAGAAGAAGAAGAAGAACAGAGAAAGACAGTTAACAGAAGTTGGCAAAATTTAATGTAAAACGAAAGAAAAATCTAAACAAAATTTATTTGTAACGCGAAAAATATCAAAAAAGAAGAAAGCAGCGAAGAGAGAGAGAGAAAAGAGACAATGTAGAAATGAAGAACAGACCAGCAGAAAGAAGAGCAGCAACAAGAAGAAGAAGCTGTGTAGTAAAGAAGAGGAAGAAGAAGAATTAGCAAAGCAGATGGCAAAGAAGGAGAAAGAAGGCAAAGAAATCAAAGCAGAGAAGAATTGGAGAAACCTTGGCAGGAGCAAATCAAATCAAATGCAATGCATAAACAGCAAGAAGAAGAAGAAGCAAAAAGCAATGAGGAAAATTCTGCTCTCCAGCCGCGATTGATGTCTGGCCAAAAAAAAAAAAACAAAATAAAAATAAAAATAAATACAACAAAATCAAAGAAAAAACAACTGCTGGAAATTATACACGTATTTTGTACACACTTTGTGATTATTATACACAGCCCACACAATTTTTTTTGGGAACTGTTCATCATTGTTGCCTTTTGCTAAATGTTTAATAAAATTATAATAAATTAATGAATTTAATAACAACAACGAAATAATATAATAAAATGTGATTAATAAATAAAATAATAATATATAAATGTGTGACTGCTTTTATTTATGCAATTTAATACAATTTATAATTATTACTAACCATTTCTTAGGCTTTGATTTCAGCTTTATATATTTAATTACTATATCATCAGCTGCTCTTATAAATATCAAAACTATATTTCAGTTAGTTTTTCGAACCTGCATAGATCTATGCCATTTCTGGATGTATTTTTATTATTTTTGCTCGCATCTCTTCAGCGGCTGCTGTCCGTTCCCTGGCCTACCCTACTCATGGCAGCTTCATATTTATCCCAAACCTAGCTGCTAATTATCACCATTCTAGTTCTATGCTTACCACGGGCTGTTGCGACTGAAAAACGTTTCGAAAGTTAATTTATTCGATATTCCCTGCGAAACACTTTTTATTTTTATTTATTTGTTTTTCCAGAGTTTGTTCGCGGAAAACACTTTGAGCGCATGAAAATTCATGAAAAATTAATTAAACCAACATTTAAGGGAAACATGGACATGCCACCCACTCCCCTTTGGTGGGGATGGGGAGTGGTGAGTGGGGCGTGGGGGGTCTGAGGCACGAAACTAATCTGAGCCTCGAAAAATGTACGAAAATTAATCTGCACATAAATTAAGCATTAAAATTTAATATATTTGTTTATGGGGGTTTGCTGCCTCAAGGCTGGCAGGGTAGTGGCAGTGGCAGTGGCATGCCGGATGTGGCATGTAGAACGATGTGTGCGTGTGTGTGTGTTTGTTTGTTTGTGTGTGTGTGTGTGGTTCTCTTAGCGGTAATAAATAAATAGCAAAAAGGTAATAAAACAGATAAGGGGGGGAAGAAAAAAGAGGAGAGGAGTGAAGCAAGGCACAAAAAGAGCTGCAAGGGTAGAGAGAGAGAGAGAGAGAGAGAGAGTCGGCTGTGTGCCTGCAATATGGAGCAGCACGAAAAGAGTCTGCCACGCGTGTGTGGCAGTAGCATTTCGCGAATCCATGCCCGTAGAATATTGTCCGTCCGCGTCCACCAGTAGCAAAGTGTGCCCTGATGCGGCACGCAGGAGATAGAGAGAGAGGCAGGGACCATGGAGCGGCACGCAGGAGAGCGGTAAATGGAGTCGAGCCTTTGGCAGCCGCTTTGGAGCTTGTGGGAGTCTGCAGGAGGAAACTGCTCGCCCCATTATCGTATTAGCACATGCCACCAGTGATTATTATGAGCGTCCCACCTCCCGCTGTTGCTGCTGCTCCTACTGTTGCTCCCGCTTGCTGCTCTTGCTGCTGCTCCTTCTGTTACTTCCCTTGTCTATGGATGCGTATAATTAATTTTGGACACACACATTCTCATTCCCTGCCACTGCCACTGCACACCAACAAAACAACAAAAAAAAAAAAAAAAAAAAAAAACCATTTATGTTGGTGAAACAATAGAGATATGGTTGCCCCGGTGTCTGCTCGTCATAAGCACAGACCAGCAGAGAATTGCTAGGGGGAATATGAGATGCGGCTGGGTGATAGGTCAGGGGGAGCTTGGGGCTGCTTCGCATTTCCGCTTAAAAATTCATAAATATAAATTTATAGAAAAGCATTTTGAGGGTTATCATACATATGTTTGTTTGGCTGATGGCAGCGGGCTGCCAGCTCGTTTTTTTTCTCGCACTTCGCTATCGATATATCGATAACAGTGGCTCTGGCTTTTAATGGCATAAAAGCTGCAAATTAATTGCCAAATAGAACATTACATACATTTTTAATTAATTAACTTTACTTATAATAAATATTAAAATTAAATATTTATTCAGTGAAAATTAATTTCGGCATTTTTGTTGCTACGCATAAACAGAGAAAAATGCCAGAAAACAAATGAAAAATTTAATGTTAATTTTATTATAAAATATATATATTTATATTTGTATTTATTTGTATTAATAAATAAATAAAATAAATATAATTTGTATATTTCTGTGAGTTTTTATTGGTAGCTAATACTGAAATTTGCAACCTCAGAAATTTAATCTAGATTTTATTACCTTATTCCCTAACTTATAATAAATATTAAAATTAAATATTTATTCAGTGAAAATTAATTTCTTCATTTGCCACACTTTTTTTGCACAACAAAATGTGATCAGCATTAAACAGAGAAAAATAGGCCAGAAAACAAATGAAAAAGTTAATGTTAATTTTATTATTTATTTAATTAATTCATTAATTCAAATTAATAAAAAAATAAATAGATATATGTATGTAGATATAAATAGATATAAATATTAATTCAAATAAATAGATATATGTAATTCGTATTTTTTGTGAGGTTCATAAATTCAATATAGATTTTATTTCCTTGCCATATTTCTGGCAACATTTTTTCACCACTAAGATTTCCCATAATGTAGCTGCTGCTGCTGCTGTTTTTATGAACTCTCTTGATGGACGGCAGCATTTTGTGTGTGCAAATTCTTGATGATTGTATTGTCATTGTCATTGATATTTTTTGTGCAATAATTCATGAAAATATGAGACTCGATTTGGCTGCCTTTTTGCTACTTTGGTATGGAATGGCAGATGGATGAAGATGAATGTCAGGCCCCTAAGAACAGCGGCGGCGGCGGCCTCATTAGACTGAATGAAAAATAGTCCTTAGCGGCAGGAGGACAGGACACACACCTTCACACAGACTGAGGCACACACAAAATTCATTCATTCATTCATTCATTCGTTCATTCGGTTTTGTGTCGCTGTTTGTCGCTTCTAATGAAATACGCATTTATTTATTTTTTTTTTTTGTGTTTGTGTTTTTGGTGTGCAGATGGAGAATTTAATATCTGGCTACAAGGATTTGCCCCGTGCCCCATTGCCCCTGCCACATTGCTCATGTGTGTCGTGTGGTCGTCGCCTGTCATCCGCAAACGATGTCATTCATTTTCACTGCCTCACATGTTGCCCCCTCCCCCCATCGCACAGTGATCCACTTGCCTTGCCTCATTGGGGAGTCCTTGTGCATGTGTAGGAGGCAGGGGGGGGAGGGGAAAAGGGAATGTGTTGCGAACATGATTCAAAGGACATTGGGTCCGGGTCCGCTTCCAGGAGCAGGCTTAAGTGTTTATTAATATCGACTCGTGTGAACGGGGACATGTGTTGTCCCTAAATTGACTTTGCCCCCCCCAGTCCACCCACCACCCCATCGGTAACTGATAAGGTCCATCATGCCCAGCCCATTGGAGCGAAGGACACCGGACCACACCACGCCGTGTTGTAGTTATTGTAACAAGACATTTGTGATTGTTATCGAAATGGCCAACAGACAACAGCTGGTCACACTGCACACGCACAGGCACAGGCACTGGCACCCCCCCTACTCGCCACCCCCTAAGGCAATTATAAACTTGCTTATTAAACCCCACCCCACCCCACCTCAGCACAGCACAGCAAAACCCCACTGAGCTGAGTAGGTCACGGGGGTCATGCGAAAAACTTCTTTTCGAGGGGCTCTTTCAATTATTGTAATCCCATTTTTGAGGGCAACTTCTTGTATCAATATTTCTTAAGGGAAATTACTCTACACCCAGCAGCGCTCTCTCTCTCTCTCTCCCCTTCCTATGCTCCTGCTTTCTCCTACCATTTCTCTGCCAAATGAAATACTTTTTGGGGAAACTTTCTTAAGTTTTCTTGCTCTGTGTCGCTCTGTCTGCAGCCGGGAATTACTGCTGCAGCATTCTTACAGCCTTTGGCAACACTGCCAGGCACACACACACACACACACACACACACACATGTAGCTGGTCTTGTACCAAAAATATTCCAGCTATAGTTAGTCCATAACTAATTGCAGCAGCAACAGCGCTGAGCTCCTGGAACGCCATTGCACCCACCAAGAGTGTTAAAAGGATTCAAAGATCCAGCCAGACTCGAGCACAAATTGAGTCCACAGCCCAAGGAGTCTGCAACAGAGACTAGATCTTAGTTTTAGACTCAAAGAAACATTTCCAAATTGTTGGCTAAATGAAAAAACAAACAAAATTCTTAAAAAATACAAAAAAATTGTAAAAAAGGATTTACAATCCAGCATACCTACCGTCTGTTAAGAAAGGGTATCGAAACTTAAGAAAAACGTTTCGAAAACAAAAGATCCAGACAGACGACCACCCCGCGTAATATGGAGTTTTTTCTGCAATAAATTCTATTTTTTTTCGGGGCATGCCACACACACGCACACATGCCCATAAATAGCAATGCAGGAAAAAACTTTGGGCCCCCCTACTGGAAGATTTCTGTTGCCCCTTTTTTTTTTGCGCCGTTCAGCGGTTGCGACTTTTAATTTTATTGCCAAGGTCCGAACGGAGCTTTGAGGGTTCCCCAATCGGTCTGTCCGCCCGTCCCTTGGGGGTTCCCCAGCTAATAATTGGGTGGGGGCTGGGGTAGTAGGAGTTCCCCGTCACTCCTTCATATATCAGCAGAGTCCAAGCCCACAGAAGTCCCGAATTGTGTGTGTGGTATGCCTCTGATTGCTTCATAAATAATTGCAGGCTGACTTTTGGCTGGGGCTATGGGGTTGGCGGTGATCTATTGGCCTGTGGCATGCATCAGCGAACAGCCAAATACGAATATTCGCTGTGCCTAAAAATGGAAACAAAAATGCAAGCAAAGATCGTGGGAATAATTTGTACTTTTGAAAATAAATCCCCACGGATTAATGCGCATTAAATTAAATATTATTTCGAGTTATTCCTAGCAGCAGTACTCCACCCACCCCCCACTCAAAGTAGTTTCAGTGCAAAATTGAGACATTGGCAGGGGCTTTTGGTTTAATTTCTTCGAGAGATTTGCGTGCGTAAAACGAGGAAGGCAGGGCAGGGCAGGTATTTTTTTTGTATTCTTTATAAATGATGGGGGGGGTGGGTCTTCTTCATCTTCTTCGTCTTTATTTTTTGGCAATTGATTTGCTGTGTCTTAATGAAAATATGTCAATCCAACGAGGCAGCATGCATGCCACTCCGCCACTCCACTCGGCGTGCCTCTTGCCTCTTTCCGACGTTTTTTTTTTGTTCTGGTGCCGCATTTTTCATTTTAATTTTCACATTAATTTTCAATTCAATTTCGCCTTCGTATTGTCACATCAATTGAAGGCAGCAAGCCAGCAGCAGCAGCAGCTTGCTGCTGCCTCCATTTTCCTGTGTGTCATTGATGAATGCCTTGGCAAAAGTTTTCCATTTTCTTCTCATTTACCGTTCAACATTTTCGTGAGGGGTTTTCTTTTTTTTTTTTTGTGTCTTTCTTTCTTTAACATTTGATTTTTTTTTATTTACTTTTTGTGCAGGATTTTCGTGGATTTTTCCATTGACTTCTAAGACTTTTTTTTTGTTGGTTTCTTTTTTTAATAACTGAAAATTCATATTGCCCCCCCCCCCCACCACCGCAGCAATGAAAGTTTTCTCAAGCTGATTAGCCACGGCCAAGAGGTGGGAGCTGGAGGTGGAGCTGGAGGTGGAGTTTGGCCTTCCCTTTGTGGTTAGGCGGGGAGGGTGACTCCTGACTCCTGACTGTTGGCTCTTTGTTTGGCTTTTGATTTGTGTGCTGTGTGTGTGCTGTGTGTGTGCTGTGTGTGTGTGTGTGCTTTATGTAAATTCATTAAGCTGCTGCCTAAGCTGCAACTTAGTTGCCTTACCTGCCCCACCAGCCCTCTGCCCGCGCACAGCTCAAAGAAAACAAATTGATAGCCAGAGACTTTTCCTGGCCCACAAAACTTTTCATTATGCATGTGCGCCACACAGAACTTTTTGGGCGAAAACAAAGACAGAAAAAGAGCGAGAGGGAGGGAGAGAGAGAGCGAGAGAGCGAATGGTGGGCGGTGGCACAAACTTTGTGGCATAATTAAAATGTTTATGCGTTTAATTGCAAATGAATTCGAGGCCAAAAGTTGCCGAATGCACGAATGCGCGCTGCTGCCACCGCTGCTGCTGCTGCTGCTGCAACAATTGACAATGCAACACAGTCACAGCCACAGCCACACTCATACGCGTAGTATGTGGGATGCCACACACCCAGCCACCCAACCCCCCTCCCATGACAATTGTTTGTATCCCTCTACAACGTTTTGTACCCTTCCTTTGGGGGGGGGGGGATAATTGCTTTTCTCTCCGCTCAAGTGGAAAATTGTGTTTAAAATTTAATCAAGAATGGAGGAGCCATTCGCCATTCGCCATTCGCTCATATGAAACGTGATATGAAACCCCAAAACAGCCTCTCCACCCACACAAAGTTATGTGCCAACAGCCTTGCCTACTTGCCTCCTTGCCTACTTGCCTACTTGCCTTGGCTTGGCTCTGACCACAAGACACACTAGACACACTGGCACACTGGCACACTGTGGCACGGGCAAGAAAGACATTAAACAGCTTCATTACCTGCAAATTTCCAAATCAAATACAAGGGAAAAACCGCAAGCTTAGCCTACCAAAAATTGGTCAGAACTATGCCTGAGCAGATCCAAGAACCCATGGCCAACAGCAGGGCAAAGCAGCCAGCACTCTCCACTTCGACAATTGATTAGCCGCCAGCACAGCTCGTCCGTTCGTTCGTTCGTTTCACTGACAATTTGTGGGCGGATGGGGGGCAGTACATACATTTTCCCCCGGGGAGAATGACAATCAGACGACACGACACCATGACCGAAAGTCGAAGAGTAGCAACCCCGAACCCCGCCGCACTAGCAGATTTTGCTGACAAGACGAAAATGTTGCGGTTAATGCCTTGTGGAAAATCTTCAGCCTGACAGCTTTCCATGCGGCATGCGGCATGCGGCAATGGTTTGGCTGGTTTGCCACAAAAAGGGAGTTCGCCTGCCAGTTGCACGCAGGCAAAAGTAGGATGATAATATAATTCGGAGTCTGGGAGACATTGTGGTTTATCTTGTGGCCTACACTCTCAGAAAAGGCACTGAGAGAGAGAGGGAGAGCCTCATTAGAGAGCCCTGCAGGGCTCAGCGGCTATGGGAGCTGAGAAAGTTACAAGAAATTACTTTATATGATCACATCTCTTATGTGACAGACTAAACACCTTGCAATCAGATCTATCAGCATACCCCAAAAAATAAACACACAAAAAGTGTCGCATTGGCTCTTGGAACACCTGGACTTTCGGACGCTATCAATGCCCTGCCCGAAACGCCTTTGACTGACAACTTTGGGATACACTTTTGATACATAGAAACTGTCTATAAGCTACCCTATTGACTGGTTTTATATGCCTGTAATTATTTATTTATTATTATATATTTTTAAGTTTAATTTTATTCTTTTTTCTGGCATCGCACATGGCCCAAATCCGCCCACAGAACTGACATGGAATACTTTTCAATGGTTTTATAGCTGCATTTTACAGCGTCTACAGCTTGGTGCTTTCTCAACAAATTTTGTTTGTTTGCCCCAGCTATACAATAGAAAGTAGCCGCTGCGGAATTATCGAATAAGTAAAAATTCAAAAATTAAATTTAAAAAAAAAGCGTACGCCTTTTAAGTATTATTTATTTATTAAATTTTATGCTCAGCAGGGGGCGCTTTGTTGTCTCGATTTTGTATAATTTCTGTAGTGAGAAAATGCATTATTGAATATTAAATCCACTAGCCAATAATTGTTACCTGCTGCGATGGCTAGAACCTATATCAAGTAATTATACATCTTGTGTATAAGAGTCGCAAAGACCCTGATGGCGGCACAGACACCTATGAGCACTAGAAATCCATTAAGGAAACTATTATCAATGTTCTCAGGCGGCTGCTGTTCAGGGTTCACTTCGAGCTGTTCAGGATTCAACTCTTGCTGCTCTGGGTTCAGCTCGAGCTGTTCAGATTTGGCCAGTGGATGAGCCATGATAAATGCGAGTATCGCATTCGAAAATATTCCGTAATAATTTAGAGCTGTGACAGTAATTTAGGACTGGAAAATGTTGAATAAAATGTGAAGGCTTCCCATGTGGAAATGTCATCAATAATCTCCGATAACTACGAGTATGTACAGCTAAGGGTTTCGCTGTGGCTAGATTTAAATAGGCCCCCAACCCAAAACAATTATCTTCCATTGGACACTAAATTATATTTTCTGATTAAGTAAATATATAATAAATATTTCAGTTAATTTTTAGCATTTAATTTCTATACCAAATATCATTGAATGTGGAGCCCATGGATTGATGTTCGTTTTATATTTAAATAAACCTCACTTCTCCTCTCTCTTCACCCTCTGGTATCTGTCTGCCTGTACCTCTGGTATATCCCTGTGCCAATCAGTGTCGCCTGGAGGCCTGCCTCGAGCTGCTTCTAGTTCATTTAATGCAATTTACTGTCATCGTCACCAAATGAAGCGCCCCTTTACCCACACACCACCATCAACTACATAGATCTCCTTTTTATTTTTATTTTCATTTCTTTTCTTAGCTTTCCACACCAAACATTTCTCCATCGCTCTGTCTCTCGCTGCTTGCCCTAGGTCTGTGACAGGATCTGCTGTATTGTTGTCCTGTGTGGCGTCCCCCAGGTGTCTGTCACGAACCCGCTCCTGACCTGAGCCCCCCCTCCTGTCAGCCACTTGGGGCAGTGTCTGTGTTATCTTTTGGCTGCAACAAAAGCCACCAAAAAAAAGCAGTAAAAAAAACAAAAAAACAAAAAACACCTGCCAGGATAAAGCAAAACGTCTTGGAAATGAATTCATCCCTGGGGACATTTCGACAGCGCCAAAAAATTTGTTTACGGCTTTTCCTGTTTTTAAAAAAAAGAAAAAGAAAAAAAAGAAGGAGGGGGGGGGGAAGGGGGGGAAAGAAGGAAGGGAAAAAAAAAAAAAAAAAAAAAAAGAAAAAAGGAGCGAGGCAGGGGGGGGGGGGGGGGGGGGGGGGGGGGGGGGGGGGGGGGGGGGGGGGGGGAAAAAAAAAGGAAAAAAAGGGAGGGGAAAAAAAAAGGAAAAAAGAAGAGAAAAAAAAGAAAAAAAAGAAAAAAACCCCCCCCCCCCCCCCCCAAAAAAAAAAAAAAAAAAAAAAAAAAAAAAAAAAAAAAAAAAAAAAAAAAAAAAAAAAAAAAGGGAAGGGGGAAAAAAAAAAAAAAAAAAAAAAAAAAAAAAAAAAAAAAAAAAAAAAAAAAAAAAAAACCCCCCCCCCCCCCCCCGGGGCACAAAACCCCCCCCCTCCCGCCCCCCCCGCGGGGGGGGGGAGGGGAGGGGGCCAAAAAAAAAGGGAAAAAAAAAAAAAAAAAAAAAAAAAAAAAAAAAAAAAAAAAAAAAAAAAAAAAAAAAAAGAAAAAAAAAAAAAAAAAAAAAAAAAAAAAGGGGGGGGAGGGCCCCAGACCGCGCCCTTCCTTTTTGTATTTGTTTTTTTTTTGTTGGGCCAAAAGTTAATGAAACGAGTCCGTAAAGCATATACTGTCCGCGTGGGGCAGGGCACTCCAAAAGAAAAAAAATATATATCATTTGAAATGCGTTTTATGTGCCGATTAAGATGTACCCTAAAGATGCTGCATCCTTTCCCTTTATTTTGCCATTGGAAAAGTTTTTAATTTGTGTGTGTGTGTGTTTTTTCGTCTGTTTATTTGCAGGTGGGAAGACTTCGACAGCCAGTGAGTGAATCCGTGAATAAACCGCAGGTAAGCGCAAAAGTGCAGCCACAAATTAACACAAAACATAAAATTTACTGCATCCGCCAAGGTGGCCCCTGGGGTGGCTGGCACACGGCAGCAAAGTGGCAAGTCTTCGTTTTACCAAGAAAACTGTCATCCACTTGAGGGCGATGCTTGCCTTAAGCCACTTATTTTCCACAGCAGCAGCAGCAGGGCAGAGCCAAGCGAAAACTACACAAATGGCAATCGAATGTGGCAATACCCTGTAATGGAAGGAAAGAATTAATTTGAGATTTAATTTATAGAAATTACTTCAAGAAAACCAAAAAAAAAAAAGGGAGAAATTTTTAAAAATTGGAAAATAACTTAAAAGATTATTTCAAACACTTTGAATGCCTGCGGCAGATATCCAGTGAAAAATACCTCAAAAATAAATACTTACAAGCAGCGCAAGAATTAAACAAAATTTATATTAACAAAATCACAGGATATGCCATTGAACATCAGTGCTCACTCACTGCTGCCTCCTGTCCCAGCCGCTCTTTTACGTATTACAGGCAGGTACTTTACCCACTCTACTCCGCCTGCTACGCCTTCGTGGGGGCCTTGGCAGCGCACGATACGAATATCTATTCCTCCATTCAGTCACTCGAAAGCAAGTCAAGATTTAGACGCTTAACGAGCTGCACTTCGCGTTGCTGCTTTTCCACTTTCCCCCCACACTCATTTTCCACTTCTGCCTTGCCGCCCGCACCGCCGTACGTACCATTTCTCTGCATTTGTGCATATTCTCTGGCATGGCACTCCACCACCAGCACCACCACCCACACCACCACCACCACCACCCACACCAACCACCTCTGCCCCACTCGTGTCTATCTATCTATCGCTTTTATATATTTTTTTTCCTTATGTATGCTAAGTGAAATTTAATGCGCTGGAAAATTGTAAGATTTCTGTACTAATATTTATTTTGGTTATGGAATAAATGGGGAAAACCCCTTTTTTCTTCTTCCTTTTTTCCTCTTTCCCTTTTTCCTTTCTTCCCTTTTTCCCTCTTGCCCTCTTTCCCTTTTTTCCTCTTGCCCTCTCCCGTTTTTCCTCTTCCCTCTTTCTCTCTTTACCTTTTACATTTCCTTTTCTACATCTATATTTTTTTTTTCTGTTTGGGCAATAATTTAATTTGCAATTTGTGTGTATGTGTGTGTGTGTGTGCACCTTTATGTGGCACACAGCTACAGATACAGCGAAATGAGTTTTTCCAAAATAAAGGAGTGGGAGGGGGCCTGGGCCTGGGCCTTCGTGTGCAATTGCAAAATGATATTACCACAATATTATTACTAGTTTTGCCCCATTGTTGCACACACAAACACACCCATACAAGTGTTGCTGTTGCCACAAAATGGTTGAATAGTACGGTACACGTGTAAAAGGCATAAAGTGCACATAACCCGAAAAATGGTCAAATGATCATTGCAATGCTCCCCCTGCTGCTCCTGCTGCCCCTCCTGCCCCCTCCTTCTTTTTTCCATACCTCCTGCAATTTCTACTTTAAACAAACAGACGGATATACGGACAGACAAACAGACAGACATTCAGACAGACGTATTTTTCGGCTGTGGTGGCTCTGAAAATTGGCCACGTTTCTGCGCGGGGGGTGCCTGCGGAATGGGTGCCTGCCTTACTGGCTAATGGCCCATGGAAACGTGCCTCAGTGCGCGCTGATTTTGATGGGATTTTCCTAGGCATTTCCTAACAAATGAAATGAGCAAACATTTTTATGAACTTCAGTTCCGTAGCAGCAGCCGAAACAGCAGCCGAAACAGCAGCCGAAACAGCAGCCGAAACAGCAGCTAAAAGTAAGTGTAAAAGAATGTTAGCAGTCAGGTATTTACTTTGAAGAACAAACGGCATAAGGAATGGAATGGCATTGGGAATGGCCTCTAAATAGACTAAAAAAGAACTTTGTTATGCTCTTGCAAAAAGCTCACAAAAACGCAATAAAAATTGTACAATTTTCTTGACAAATTAATGGAGGCAAAGGAAAGGAAAGCTTCTAAAAAACGTATGAAACTTTCATTGAAGCATTCCAAACAACAACAAAAAAAGAGTTGCAACAAAGTCTTGGCCACAAATGAGAAACAAAATGTGTGCCAGAGCTATTTTATTTATAATTATAATTATTTTATTTATAACTATATAACTATAATATTTCTTTTTTATTTATAATTATAATTATTTTATTTATATTTATATAATTATTTTATTTATAATTATAATTATTTTATTTATAATTATATAATTCTTTTATTTATAATTATATAATTATTTTTTATTATTTTACATAGCATAGCCAGCAGAGCAAAAATAGCTTCAGGCTGATTATTGTGTCAATTCTGAATATGTAAATAGAAAATCTCTAAAACATTGAAAATCTTTCACTTTAATTGAAAAATTATTATTTTATTTATATTTATTATAATTATTATTAATTATTTATTATATTATACACATATATTGAAAAATGATTATTTTACTTATATTTATATTAATTATTATATTATTTTGAAAAAGTGCATATAGAAGTTTTTTCTAGGTATCCACAAGACATTTAAATTTCCAAAAAAAAATTTATTAAAATAATCTAAATTACTGGTAACTTTCAGGTAGATGGGAATTAAATTCAAATTCCTTGGCAAAAAGCAAATCAGAGTTATTTTTCTTTAATGATTTCCCCAATAGCTTGAACGTATATTTAAACTATATTTTATATATTATTTGATGCTATATTAAATGCTAAACCCTGCTAAAATATTTAATGTTCAAATAGCTGCATTGCAAATAGCATGAAAATATTTTAATCACAGCTAAAAAGCTATGCCACGAGCAAAAGAGTGCCATAGAAATATGGAAAAAAACTTGAGAATACTTTAAGTAATCCATGGGAAACTTTCTACCCAATGTTACACCTTCAAATGTAGTTCAAAATTAGGTAATTTCTTTGTGGAAAAAAGAGAGCTGCAGTGCCTGCCTGACTGCCAGCTACTTGCTATTATGTTAAGCCTTTCGTTTTACATTTGAAGCACTCATAAATCAGGCTTAAGGATCCTGACTTCCCGCACTCGACAGTGCACTAGCAAGAGCAGTAGCAGGAGGAGTAGCAGTAGCAGCAGTAGGAGGAGTAGCAGCAGCAGCAGGTGGAGTAGCTGGAAGGAGGTTTCAACAAGTCCTTGCAACCTGCCACCCAAAAACCAATTTGGCTACCAAGAAATTTCCATTAAGAAGCGAATGGCTGCGATGTGGAATGGAATGAAGTGGCGAGACCATGCGAGACCTATCCCTGGGGTTCATTAACGTTGAAGCCCCGGTGAGGTATTTCCATTCATATGGCTGTCTGTGTGTGTGTGAGCCACTGGGGGATACGCCTCCTGCCAGCTGCCAGCTGCCAGCTGCCCTGCCACGTACCACGTACTTCCATTTTCTTCCATTTGTTGCAAATTGCAAGGTGCATGATGCATTTTACAAATGCATTACGTATACGCGCGCGTACTCGTATTCGCGATGCAATCACGCCGAAAATTCGTTTCCATATATTACACACACACACACACACACACAGAGAAGTACAGGCAGTCAGGCAGTCAGCAACATGCAACAAGAGTGCTGTTGCAAGTGGAAGTGGGTGTGTGTTGTGGGTGTGTGTGGCAGGCAGAGAGAGTAAAATGCTTTTGATTGTTTGGCCCCCCGGCAGTTATTTATATTTGTATTGACTGCATTTTTGGTTTATGTTGCAGGCAACTCAATGTTGCACGGGGGCTGGTGGCAGGGGCAGGGGCAGCTGCTGGCTGTGCCTTTCTGTGGCTGTTGTGGCAGCACAATTTTGTTAGCCGCGTGTGTGTGTGTTGCGCTATCAAAAATTGTTGCCCCACCAGCCAACCAGCCAACCAGCGGCCTGCCTGCTACTACCCACCACAGCTGCCCCGCTTTCAGCCCGCCCTTTGTCTGTATCTCAGCCTGCTTTTAGGCCCCCCCTTTGAGTCACTTTCCTTTCATAATTTGTGCCTCTCTTTGCATACGCTTACGACTGGTTAAGGCTCTTTTTTGGGGGCTACTAAAACCGTGTTAAACAGTTGCAAAAGAGCCTCAAAAGTTTGGAAAAAAAAAGTATATTTCATTTTTTTTAGATATTTGACAAGGTGGAAATATATTTTTTGTTGTGCAGTTCGCTTTTCTAGCCCGACAGATACCCTTTCTTTCGTTCTTTCTTTTTGGGCACTTTTATTTTGGGCTTGCAAAATATTTCAAATGCCAATTTTGAGTTTTTTGATGTGTCTGTGTGTGTGTGTCAGTGTGTTTGTGTTGTGTCTGCATACATATATGTTTGTGTGTGTGTATTTGAGAATGCATTTCGTTTGGTGTTTATTTTTTTTTTTGGGCTCGTTTTTTGGGCCGGCAAAAAGTTTATAACGCTTTTTGCATTGTTTTGTGTTGATGGGAGTTTTTTGTTTTTTTTTTTTTTTTTTAAGCAAATTGGTTTACAGAGCGCTCTCTCAGTGTCCCCCTTCCCCTTTCCATCAAACCGCCCAACCGCCACGAATTTCGCGTTTGTTTTCGCTGTTGTGATTCCTGGCATAATATTTATTCTACCACCCGCCCCGTATTCTACCCGGGCTACTCGTTTTTTTTTTTCAGCATATTGTGATTCACTCCACTCTATTCACTGCCCCTCTCCCGCTTTTGTTTACTCTCTCCAGCTCTCTCGGTTTGGGAAATCATTTGTTAACCAGACGATTTTCGCACTTCCTTTTTTGCATAATAAGAACACATGTACTCCGCGCAGGATATTTTTGGGGCAAACCAAAGGGGAAATTAAACGTACAGAAACTACGTGCAAAAAACTGATAGAAAATGTACAATAGAGAGAGTTTTGAAGTTACCCAAAATTATGCAGCAAATTTGTATTCTTTTCCCTTGCCCCTACGGCAACATGTGTCGCGCGTCATGCGGCAGCGCCCCACGGTCAGTTC